CTCAAAATCAATAGGAAAAGTATACAATAAGTTTATTTATCCTTGATACAAGGTGGACTCAATTAATTTGGATATTTGGATGATAGCATTTATTCTATTGATCAAGCTCAAACTTCTAAAGATATTTTTTCAAATTTTATGACATACCCAATCTATCAGATTTTACATCGGATGGTTAGAAGTAAAGTAATTTTCTTGTACCAAATGTCAATGGTCTCATTGTATACAATCTCTAATCAATAGTTGTGTGGTCGTCTACTATTTTTATGCCTGATTTCCCACTTTGTTCCTATTAGTTTTCTTGTTCTTTCGTTTTTCTTTTTTCTTTTTTTTTAGACAATAGAACCCCAAAGAACTGGCAAGCTAGCACGAGTAGCTCTGAGCTGGCTCGTAGTTGGTGCTTGATCCGGTTGACCCACCGTCTTAAAAGACTAGTTGTAACCAAAGTAGCCTTCAAAAAATGGGCGGGGTTTGCAAAAGGTTGCAACCTTAAACAATCAAATCAAGGTGTGCCTTTAAATTTTATCATAAATGTAATTTGGGGTCTAAAATTTTTAGGATGGCATGAAAATCTACTTTGATATCTAATTATAAAATTTTAAACTTCAAAAATTGTTCAAATTAAATAGATCTACAAACACATAAAAATATTGAAAATATACGATCCAAATAATATGTTACAAGATAAACTATTTTTGGAACTTGAAATTTTTTTTTTTTTTTTTTTTCATATTCGTACATCTCAATGTTGAGATGATCAATTAGAGAGTTTTCCAATATCAAAACAACTTTTTATTATGAATTTTTAAGGTGCACCTTAATTCTACATTTTATGTTTGCAACCTATATAAACTTTTTCCCTGCAAAAATTACCCGGGTGAGAAAGTGGAATTTTGGGAACATGTTTTTCAAATTATTTTCATAATAATCTCACCCTGAACACCTTGTAGAGTATTTCTAATTTGAAATATTAATATCTTGATTAAGTCACTTTGTACCAAACTGCTATCTTGGAACACTAGTATCTCACTAACTAAATCAACCTATAACATCTCTTTGAATACCAATATCTCACGAGTGTCAGTTTTACCAAGATATTGGTATTACAAATGAAATTATTTTACACATAATTGGTTTTACTGAAACTTGTTTGTTTTGGATAGAGGAGAAGAATTAAAGTTGGTTTTCTTTTGTTTGACTATTATGATGTGTGTATCGAGGAAGCTTCTGTTTCAATAAATAGGACGGGAAATGGATGAAGTGTTGATATTGCATCTCTTTGGTGTGGTTTGAAAATTTTCCAATTATTTGCAAATGGGGAAGGTAAAAACATTATTTTCAATTTCTTGCATTTCTACAGCGAGCATCAACAAGATACACACATACACACAATGAGTGAATCTCTGATATGGTTACAATTATTTAACGGAATTTGAATTTTAATAAACTTTATATGAATCAAATAGACATGGAATTTGAAACATGTGAAACATGTGTACATCCAAGCAGCTCACACTTAATGAAAACATTTATTATAGTGGAACATAAACTCAGTGGGAGTGTGGTCCTTCGAGGACCATACTAAGCAAATGATATTTGCTGATACCGAACTGTACTTGACGATCTAGGCCAGTCGGTTGGAAAACCCAAGGTACCTGTACATAAAGAATTAACCGATGAGGGTTTTTGGTTAGCCCTTGATGAGGTCGG